ATGCTGTCCACATCCCTCTTGAAGTGCGGCGCCTAGAACTGGACACAGTACTCCAACTGCGGCCTGACCAGTGCCACACAGAGGGGGAGGATCACCTCTTTGGACCTGCTCGAGATGCATCTGTGGACGCATGACAAGGTACATGATGGGAGAAGGTGATGCCTTTCCTCAGGAGCTTTTGCTGACAAAAAGATTCCAGTGGAATTTAATTGTTGGAAGTTCTACCAAATATAACCACTTAAGGATGACCTCCATTGGGAAAATTTCTCAGTGAGGCACTCAGACATGGGCAAACTAATTTCCCTTTGCTACAGGTTTCCTGCAGAAGTCCCAAAATGTCTGTTTTAGTCTTATATCCCACTACTCTGACTTAAGAAAGTAAATCTAGCCCAATATATTCAGTGTCTTTCATAAACCAAGCCTAGCAGATGTTGTTTCCTATCTAAGAACTTGTACCCAAGTCATAACACTTCTATAATACCTGTCCATAACAGAAAGAAAAAAATGTGAGTCCACTGATGGCACCATAAAATGATCATAGTATCATAGTACTTAGGGTTGGAAGGGATCTAAATAGATCATTAGTTCCGACCCCCTGCCCCAGGCAGGAATGGGTGCTGGGATCAAATCACCCCAGCCAAATATCTGTCCAGCCTCCTCTTGAAGACCCCCAAGGTAGGAGAGAGAACCACCTCACTTGGGAGTCCATTCTAGAGCCTGGCAGCCCTAATCATAAAGTAATGTCTCCTGCTGCCAGCCTGAACCTTCTCTCTAACAATTTGTGGCCGTTACATGACAGTGAAATTCTGCTGTCACATCTGCCCTTGCATTTGATGGTGTGTTCTCCTCCTGGATGCATGGAACGCTTTAATCGTACATTCATGTCAATACATTCTTTGCAACAATAAGAGACAAAAGTTATATATATCCATGTGTATACAGAAAGCTAGTTACATATTTTTAAATGAAAGCTCAGATTCTGTAGCAATGTGTGAATTCTGCACCCATGAGATTATACAAAATAGGAGAGCCCATGATGATATGACACAATGAAGCACAATGTAGAGATACCTCAGGTGGCCCAGGCTGGATCTATAAAGAGTAGAGCCGTGTCAGTACAGTGCTCCCTCTGGGCTGAGAAGCATGGCTAATTACCTAAAGTGGAGCACCATGCTAGCATAGCACTATTGGTTCTGGGCTCCAAGCTGAGCTAGGTCAGGTACCTCTACATAGCAATGCATTGTACCATATAGGAATACCATAAAGAACTAAATAGAAAAAAAATCTAATTAAAAAAAATAGAGATAAGGCTCTCAAGATTTAAAGCCATATGAAATTATAAAACTCAGCTTAAAGCTCAAACATCATCATTAAATTAAGTCCATTCCTCAATATTGCCATACATTATGGCAATATTTATGGCATTATGTTTTTTGTTTTCTTCTGTTTAAACAGTCCTTTTTAAATGTACCATTAAGGAAGGGTAAAATGTGTAGCTGTTTCACAGTAGGTAAAACATGCTGTCTTTCATTAATTTTTAGACCCCCACAGTGTTTTATACTTCTAAAATAACTACTTACTAAGCGTATATGTTTTTATACATAATATTTCATCATTTGAAGTCTGTGTTTATTCAACAAATCTTTACATTCTGAAAGATTTACATCCTTTTTAAAGAGAGAGAGAGAAAAAAATGTAATAAACTAAATAGTTACTGTTTCTTGAGCAATTGCTATATAAAATACTGGCCTTGGGAGAGAAACATTACTTCTTTGATTATGAGATTACATTTTGGTCAGCTATAACACCATCTCATTAACTTTCCTTTCTCACTATTACTTTCAAAAGTAATCACTCTTTACAATATGTGTATACAAAACAACATGTACATTAGACTTAGATGAATTATTTCTTCTTGCTTTCTACCTTGTAACATATAACTGCCATGTATATGTACATGACGCACTTCAGTGCAATTGGGTGGGCTGATAACAGACCGGCACTTTATTTGAATAAGGAGGTGTGGGGGAAAGAACCCTCTTTAACTCAGGATGTTAGATATAGCAGTACATTAAGGATTAATAAACATTTTTCAAGGCTTGCCATCATCCTCTGTAGAAAAGAACTGTGGAAACACTGAAGTAGAAATGGTAGGAAAAGTTAGTAAAAATGAGTCCAGCCATGCTTACTGGTGGCTGGACTTGTTAGTGTCTGAACATTTTCTGAGAAAAAAATGAGTTTAAAAAAATGAACTGCCCACCCTCCTAAATGAAACTACAGCAACTATGACCATTTTCTTGCCTTCTGGAAATGTGTTTGAAAGTCCCAGTTCCCTTCTGTACCATATTCAGTTTTCTTGTTCTATACTTGGAGGAACAGCTTCACTCTCCCATATTTCT